TGACTAAGTAGGCTACTCATCCCAAGGTAGATGTAACACACACACCCTTAATCCCAGTATTGGATCATGAATCAATCAGATTCAGCAACCTCTAAAAGTCTGCCTTCCATAACTACATGAGGCTTTGGGAGGACACCCAAAAATGAACCATAACAACAAGCATTATCATTTAATTCTAGGAATTCTTAAATTTCTTCCTTGATTATGTGACCCACTGAGTCGTCAGGAGTATATTATTATTTAATATCCAGGTGTTTGTAAAATCTCTGATTTCTTTTGTGGTTGAGATATAGTTTGAGTACACTATGAGCTTAGAGTATACAAGAAGAGATTCTGATTCTTTTGTATTTATGTAAGCAGGCTTCATGAATTAACATCTGGTCTATATTGGAGAAATTTCCACATGCTACTAAGAAGGTGTATTTTATTGCAGTAGAGTAGAACACCAGTAAGGTCATGACTCGGCTCTCATACTTCTTGTTAACTGTTGTTTAGCTGATCTATTTGTAAAATTTAGGTATTCGGGTAACACATCATGATTGTGTTCATGTTTCTTTGCTTTTTTTATATCCAGCGCTATGTATTTTCTGAATTTAGGTGCATTGATATTTGGTGCATATATATGTGTGTGTGTGTGTATATACAACGCTTATCTCTTCCTGTTGAAGTAAACGTTCCCTTAACTAATATGTAGTGACCTTCTTTGCAATTTCTGATCAGTTTTAGCTTGAAGATTACTTGGATAATATAACCGCTAATCCTGGTTGCTTTCAGAGTTGTGGTGAACAGTTTTGATTTTTTTGTACATGCATTTTATTTTTGGATTAAATAAGTCTCTTGGATCCAAGCAACTGTTGGGTTCTCTTTTTAACTGATCTGTTGATCTATGTGTTTTAATTGGAGAGTGGAGGCCATTTATGCTGAGAGTTTTTATTGATAAGTATGGACATTCCCGTAAATGTGTTTTTTCTATTGTTTAACTATGTATCTTGCTTGATGTACTCACTTCTTGTAATTTTTTTACTTTTTAGGCTACCCTTGAAAATTTTTTGGCATGCTAGTTTGGTGTTCATGCATATCTTTAAGATTTTTTTTGGTCCCTAACTCATCATCAATTTTGAAAGCTAGTCTTGCAGGCTATATTCGTCTGGGTTGGAAGTTGTTTTCTTGTAGGGCTTGAAACACTTCACTCCAAGTTCTCCTCACCTTTTAATTTTGTGGTGAAAAGTCTGCTGTAATTCTAGTGGGTTTACCTTCATAAGTGATCTGTTGTTTTTCTCTGATAGCTTTTGGTATTCTTTTTGTTAGACATTTGGGATTTTTATTATGGTGTGTCTGAGGGAGATTCTTTTAATCATGCTGAACCCTCTGTTTTCTCATCATTAAAAGGAACATCAAATATGGCAAGGTGGCACATGCCTGTAATCCAAGAACTCTGGGAATTTGAAGAAGGAAGATTGCAAGTTTGAGCTCAGGTTGGTCTTACTGAGACTCTGTCTCAAAATATTTTTTTTTAATTAAAAAGAATTCAATGTGAAGATGCTGGGTTGAAGCCCAGTACTGCAAAAACAAAACAATAATGACACCTTCTTGCAAAAAGGCATAAGTATTCATGGAAAGCAGCACAGTATGTCTGGCATATTAGAAATGCCCATAGAGATAACGATGGTAAATACAGAAATAATGACACTGCTGTTATGACTAATATTAGCAGTTAGGCTGCGAGCATACTTGTATCCATACAACTCATTTAATTTTCATTTATCCTTTCTGATGGCTCCCATGACAGGGGTACAGACCTGGAGGTGCCCACCGTCACACAGGTAGAGGAAGAATTCACACTCAGACCTCTGCACTCCTGCCCCTGCCCTGCCACTGCTCTCCAGGCTCGTTTCCTGGTGTTACCACAGCGGTGATCACTGCAACAAACACCTCCTTTCCACCAGCAGGACCACAAACTTATTCTCTCAACCACCATATTTAGAAACACACTACCAAAATTGCACGTGATAAAGAATAGCACTTTGTACACCTGGGCACCCTGGTCCACTGTGTAAAAAGTGGTGACACTTCCTGGCCAGCTCTAGCCCAGGAATCCAGAGCTGGGCTTAGTTAAGCTCAGTACTGGCAAAACTTGCTGTGAGACTGACTTGGCCCAAATACCCCTGTCTAGGTCTCAGTTTCCTCTACTGTGTGAAGCTCTGAACTAAACAAAGATTCTGCAACTAACTAATCCCATTGTATTTGTACAGCCCAGGAGCACAGAATGGCTTTTTGCATTTTCAATTTTAATTTGTGATGTATGGAAAGGATGCAGTTTATACAAAATCCAAATTTTAGAATCCATAACAGAATTTTATCCGAACAGTTACTCTTACGTATTGTCTTTGGCTGATACACAATACCACAGGTAAGCAGAGTATGGCCTTCAACATGGACAATAATACTAAAATATTGCTATGTTTATTAAGAACACACTGTAATATTAATAAAAATTTGCCAACCCCTGAACAAGATCACTTTTACACATATATTTTAACCACAATAATGAATCACATATAAGGACTCTTCTTCCCATAAAATCCAGAATTATGACCTGCAATAACCCAGGTCTCTGAGTGGCCCACAAAGTTACTGAGTACAGTCACCTGGGAGTGTCAGGTGAAGTCTATCTAACCAGGATTCACATCCTTCTGGGAAACAGTGCAGCAAAATAGTCAAGATTCTCAGTTGGAGTCACGTAAACTCACCAGCCTTGCACTGGGGTTGTTGGGGAAGCCTCCAGCATTCTCACATGACTCAGCCTCCCGGCCACCCTCTGGTGCTGTCTAAATTTGCACCCAGCATCTCCAAAGCAACCCCTCAAACTCTAGGACCCCGCCCCTTCAGGCTGTGGGCCTGAAGGGAACAAAGAGTATTTCCATTGGCTCGGTGCCATACCAGCCAGCCAATCAGCGTGGGCACACGAAATTGTTGCCCGTGGGTGGCTCATTGGACCGGTAGCAGGGCGCCCCAGAGGGTGAAGCTGGCTCGTCCGGACCCTTCCTCAAGGTCCCAGCTCTTGAGGGCCGGGCGCGAGCTCTGTTCTGACTTCTTGTGGTTGGGGAACACCTGGTCTTAGGCAGTCGCTGAGCGAGGGGCTGTGTTCATGTTGTGCTGTGGGACAAGTGCTTTAAAAGGAGTGCAAATTTGAGGAACACTTAGATGGAATTAAGGGCAGAAGAGCTTTCATCCTAGCACCTACCTCACCTGCTCCCCCAAAGAACTGAAGCCCAACAGGCACAAACTACTGAAGCAATAAATAACAAGACCCCATAAATGAATAGAGGGATATCCAGGATTCGCCCTGAAAGGAGGTTCCAAAGTTAAGGGCTTCTTGTAAAGCGTTTACGGAAGGCTTTCTACACTGTGGTTAAATTTATAGCTGTTTGAGTCCCACAGTATAATTTAAATAAGAATGTTATGGCCTTCTTTATTTTATAACTCTGGGGGGAGCAGGAACAGCGGGGCTGAGCTATGTCCTTAGCCTTTTGGGTCTCTCAAAATTGCCCAGGATGTTTACCTGAGGCTCAGTTCCCTCCTGACTCTAACCAGGCTGTCCGCTGTGACCTGGCCTGCCTGCTCCACCCAAGATTCAGCACCTCGGCCCAGAACAATGCTAAAGCAGTCCTACCCAGGGCTTCTCAAAAATCGAGCAGCCCCTATCACTCCTACTGAAGAACTGCCCCTTACTGAGCCACTGGACCTTCTACAGTATCGCACACACACCTGGGATGGCCGTGGATCTGAGCCACACTGAGACGAGCCACTGTGAGAGGCTACTCAGACCCAAGCAGCTTTGTGACAAAGGTTCAAAGGTGAGAGATGGTACAAATCAGGCCAGAGGCTTGGGCAGTGCCATTTTACCAGAAGGCAAAGCTCAGGGCCACTGTAGGGGAGAGTACTGGACATGGGGGAGGGATCAGGTCACCAAGCCACCCGACAACAGTGCGATCCCTAGAGTACAGTGGGTAGATTTAATATGGGGGAAAGTGCCATCTTACGGGTCCTGTGGATTCTTTGCCCTCAGTGCCATCCTCAGGCACTGCATGCATTCCATTCAACCCACACACAGTCCAAGCTGGAAGCAGGACCCTCGTGAAACACCCTGGCAGAATGAGTGCAGACACGGGACAGGGAGCCAAGAAGCTCCTAGTTCTTGCTTTTAAGAACAGGCCTCAGCAGCGGACAGATACAATCCCAGCAGGTACAGATATTCCATTAGAAACTACCTTTATTAAGTCTGTAGAGTGTGCAGATGAAACTCGCAATCCGATACTTCAAACGATCACCAATCCTCGTACAAGCAAACAATATCCACTATTATCTATGGGTCATAAGCTCTGTGAATTCTGTATGGAATATGGAGAAAGCTACTGAGCAGAGACTACTTCCTTTGGGCTTCCCCTGTCCACCCAGGCACACTGTGAAATGCCAAGGTGTGATACAGTACACAGTTGTAGAAGAAGGTATTTATTTAGTTTCTAGCGGCAGACTTTTCATTTTGACTCTTGGTATGCTGGCAAACACTGCATTTCTGATGTTTGGCATGGATTTTGCAAAGTGCTCAGTTCCAGTGAATTCTCAGGAAGAGTCAGGGTGCAAAGTGGAGTCCAGGGAAGTTCTGGGAAGCTTAGCTAGCCCAGTTCTCCTGGCCAGCATAGCAGTGTGTGGATCATAGGGTGAGGTCAGGATGATCGGGGTATCAGGAGAATATGCAGATAGTTTCAGGCCAGAGTAGCTTCCCTCCTGTTCCCAGTGGCCTACACCTGGGTACACAAGGCAGAAGCACCAGGCTGTAGTCTCCTCTCCAAGATTTCAGTGCTGCAGATGTATCACACAGCAGCCCTAAAAAGGAGATGTGCCACCTCTATTTCTCTAAGGTTCTCTTCTCATAAACCAAACCTGCTGCCCAGAGGCCCAAGGTGACGGGAAGGTAGTAGGAAGATAAATGAGTCACGTTTGAATGATACAGTCCTCTTTGTTTATTTGGAATGAGGCTGGAGAAGAGGACAATTGCAAGCTCACAGACACAGCTGCAGTAGGGTGCCAGAGGCCAGTATCCACCAAACCCTGACTCTGCCAGGAGGCTTCTTGGGAAGAGGCAGCTAGCTTACTGAGATGCCTTGGATCCTTTGTGCCGATCATAAGAATGTCATGACAGTTCCTTTCTTTCCAATCTGCCAGCGCTCCAAGGGATAGAAGCGGATAACTATCCTTTAGGAAACAGAGAAAAAGATGTCAGCTGCTTGGCAAACGTCACCTTGCAAAGACTCCTGTCAACATATTCTCGCCATGGGCTCCCACACCAGCCCACATCAGCCCTCAATTATTTTGCTGCCCTGCTCATCCCAGCTAAGCTCTTTCCAGCTCAGACAGGACAGTGGTACTGTCAGATGTGGTCTGCAGGTGGAGACACAGGGCTGCAAACTGGAAATGATTGAGCTGTATCCAGGTGTTAGACAGCCAAGCTAAAGCTCTTTTTGCTATTCGGTGGCCTCCTCCTCCCAGCCTTGTTTGGTTCCAAAGGTCATGTTCTGGAGACAAGCCCAGATTGCTTTTCAGCAGCCTGGAAAAGTTCTCTCTGAAAATCAGACTCCCTGGCTTCCTTGGGGCCATAACACCTTGCTACACTGCCAGCTCCATCCCAGTGCACAGATGGAGGCACAAAGGTCCAAGAAAACACACCACGTCCAGGTGTCACAGAGATGGCTGCTGAGCCAGGAATTCTACAATCTTGGACCCACTGGGAAAACAAACCCACCCTCGGGGGCCTAAGGTGTATACAGGCTTCCTGGAATAGACTACTGTAGGTAGTACGCATAGTACTGTTCCTTTTTGGGCAAGACGAGGGTTTTCCCCCCCGCAGACCCTCGGAGGCAGGTCACTGTCTCTGCTTACACAATTGTCACAGATGGGCCCTTTCACTAACCCTACATACCGGTCCTGGCCCAAGGCCAGCTCCTTGGTGAGGACCTCGAAGAACCCCGCGCTGTGTCCGCGGTTCTCCTCCGCAGTGCCCACCACACCGATGGAAGAGATGACTAGCTGGGCACAGGGCTCTGTGGATCCACCCAGCAACATGGTCGTGCCAGACCGCACAATAACGATCACGCTCTGTGAGGGACACAAGTTTCCAAAATGGAACTGCAGCCAGTAGGACTAGACACGCGGGGGCGTGCAGCGCCTGTAAGCGCAGTACCTAAAGGGCCTGGGTCTTTTTAAGTCACGTGAGGATCGAGGCAGAGGGCAGCTAGCTGGGACAGTGCAAGGCCGCCCCGCAGATTCACTGGGCATGGCAGGGTACCCTGGTGGGCGAAATGGAGGTCTCTGAGACGAATCTAGGTCACTGTGGGAAGGTGGGGTGGGAACAGAGCCGGATCCTCGGTCCCCAAAACCTCCCCTCGCCCAGGACGCCCCTATTTATCCTCGCTCACGTTCTCGGGTTTGCTCAGAATGGTAGCGGCGGCCCCGCACAGCCGCTTCTCCAGCCCGTCAGGCAGGCGGCTGGCGGGTAGATTCGTTTCCAGCTCGATGAAGGGCATGTCCAGCAGGAAGGCAGAAGCAGCCTCAGCGGAGAAAGTACGCAGTCTGGCCAAGTGTATACAAGGGTGGCCAATGGCTGCGTGGGCGGGGCGCCACGGCAACCAGCGTATTCATTGGCTGGGCAATGGATCGGCGCTCCCTCATTGGTCACCAGGGCTACAACCCCAGTCTCCGAGGTTCGAGCGCCGGCTCGGATTTCCGGAAGTCAGAGCAGGCTAGCTGTAATTCCAACCCCATCCGGGTGCTGCAGGAGCTGAGGCCCGTCTGCCCAGCATCATCCCTGGAAACAGGGTTGTTTTTCCCGCTGCTTTTCAGGCTCAGAGCCGGCCTGTTCCTAATCCATGTTCACATGGAAGTCTGAGCACACGATTCTGTAGGGCCTCTCATAGGCTTGCCCCTAACAACCATAGCTATGCTGATTAAATAATATTTTGAACGCGTTGCCATAATTTCAAAGTCAGGCAACTTCAAGTCTCCAGTGGGAATTTGCTTCTCCGAAACAGTTTAGAGACCTGGTAACACGAGTGGGTGCAGGTTGGGGCCAAGCAAGTCCCTCGGGCTATGGTATGTCTACCTGGTCCCCAAGACACTTGCCCTTCTAGCCTGTTATGTGAGTGACGCAATAATTTGGAACAGGGTTATCCAGTTACACTTAGAGCATTCTAAGTGTGCAGATTAAAAGCGTCTCAACGGGAAGGCAATTGAGCCTACTGTCTATCATTACTCATCCTGTTAGTTTATTAGAAGATTCAAAAAGGGGTTAAGACACAAGATAGGTGATTGCAGTAGTTCTGGAGGTGGCAACTTTGGGACCCAGAGCAGGGCGTGGAGAAGGCAATGGTTAGGGTTAGGAGTGAGCATGAGCAAGCATACTACATGGCAGGCTTGGAGGGCCAAAAAGTACTCCACCTGTGGGAGACAGTGACCCCACAGAGAAAGGTGAAAGACCTAGGGGACTAAGGCCATTCCTGATCAGACAGGTCTTCACCTGGTCAACCCCCATCTGTGATGCATGCTCAGCTCAGGGAGCGTAGTACCTGCTTCGTGCGGAGACTGCGGAAGGAAGCATGGGCTGAGGATCCCAGAGAGTCATCTGACTCGGCCTGGGGCTGAGGAGGTCAGGGAAATGTCCCAGGAGAAGCAACATGAGGCAGAGCATCCAAAGACCACAAGCATATGCTAAAGCATGCCACATAAACCTGTGCTAAAGCTTTCTGCAAAGGAAGGCATAAGCCAGATGGTGGAGTAAACGTGAGGAAGGAAACAAAAGAAATGACATCATGCTGTGTGGGAGGGAGCTGTGGACCAGAAACACAGGGATATGCCCGGTACGAGGCAGCATGTAAGCTTTAGGTTTCCCTGCTAGGATTTTCCCACCCCCCGTGATGTGTGTGACATGTTGTGGATGCTTCTCCAAGTGGACATTGGAAAGACATCAGTATTCTAAAGCGAGAGTGCATTTTGTAGATAAGAAGACTAAGGTTCAGAGGAAAAAGTGACTCCTCCAGCATCCAGCAACCCAAAACATCAACATGCTTTCCCAGGACTCCCTACTATTCAGGAAGATCACACACACACCCATGGCACTCACATGCATCAGTTCTGTGATGGCCTTTCAAGTCAGCCACAGAAATCTGGGGACTACTGAGAAAGTCCTGGTCTCAAAAAAACTTGTCCTCGAGCAGCTGCAGGCAACTGTCCAGCTCAGCCAAAGTGGGCAACATGTCTCCTAGAACATTGGCTGATTCAGCCAAGCAAGGATCATCATCTAAAGGGTGCATAGGAAGAGAATCCAAGACAAGTATTGTGGCAGATGCCTGTATGCCCAGCACTCTAATAGGCTGAGGCAGGACGATTGAAAATTAGAGGCAATCCTGGCAACTTAATGAGACCCTGCTCAAAATAAAGGAGGAGGAGGAGATGAGGATGTAGTTCAGTGTGAAGGGCCTTATTTCAATTCCCAGTATGAGAGATAGAGAGACAGAGACAGAGACAGAGACAGACAGACAGAGACACTATGCCCAAAGCCCATCTTTCATCCCATCCTCATTTCATCATTAGTTCTTTGGATTCTTTCTTATCCCTGTTTATTCCTTCCTGGCTTACAGCTTTCCTCGTGACTAATATCTCAACACAGAGTCCTCTCCAGTGCAGCAGTCATCCTGTCCTTTCTCTCCCACCCACTTCTCGACCGTACCCCAAATTGCTCTAGTGGGATTTGTGTGAATTCACTAAACATTATGACCACAGTCTCTGGCATTCCCAGGACTTGATGTTCTAAGGTCCTAAGGTCCCAGTTCTGAATAAATGCTTAAAACAGAAAGCACCATTCTTGGAGCTCCCACAAGATGTCCTTGCCTCTCCTGGCTCAGCTGCCACATGGTCCAGGTGCACCAACTCCTCAGGGCAATGTGCTTCTAGGACAGGGACTCACCCGCTCAGGCATCAAAGAAGAGGAGGCCTCTATACTCATCCCTGGATCACAGATGCTGACCCCACCAGTGGCCTACCTGCCCTATGCCCACACTCTTGCAGCCTGGGTCTAGCAGAGCTTCCGTTTGAGCTTGGGGGCATGGTAATTTCTGGGAGCAGTAACCTTCCTGCCACCCCGAGCCATTCCAACCTTGTGTCAGACGTTCCAGTCTCCTCTTTGGGCTGTAATTTTGCTGTCCCTGGTAGTGACATAGGCCCTTCTGACCATGCTAGCTAAACTTTCTATGCCCTAGCATCTCAGCCACTCCTATCCCTATGTCTCAGTTAGACCTTGCTTTTGTAAGGAACACCTGTCCCATTCAGCCACCCAGGATCCAGCAGCTCAACACTTTTTCCCTTGCAGTGCCAAACCCTCCAGTCTCTTGGGTTCCCATGTCTGATTCATTTCCACATATCTCAGGGTCCTATCGCACAGACCAGCTTGGAGAGGACCCTGGTACCAGTTAATTCCTATGGAGTCAGAGGGCTTTGGTGGAACCAGTAGGTTCAGCCTGGCCAGAGGGCTACACATGATCCTTATGCTAAACACACATCATCAGCCTTGCCAATTATCCCTCCAGAAACTGCCTGTGTCTGGCCGTTGTCCCAAGGAGGAGACCCAAGCCAAGAGTGTGAATTGCCATGAGAGAGGGGTGGAGGGTTCATCTGAGCAGTCCAGTGCTGTCCAGTCATGGCCCTGTTCCTTCTCTGGATTCTGCTCCAGCTGTGTTTTGCAGGCCAAGCAGACCAGCAATGTGGCAGCTGAGCTCCCAGAGACCTGTGGTAGCTTAGCTTCATTATTATGGGTAGGCAGAGCAGCCTAAAGAGAGGGTCAGATTAAAGAGCTAATTCAAGCAGTTGGTTAATCAAGCAGCTGGTTAAGTTTAGAAAAGTAAAAGAAAACACAAGAATAAAGGATAAAGGTAGGTTAAGAATAGAGAGAAGAATGTTTCCTGGCAGAAAGAAGACTAAGTTAGTTAACAGCTTCTCTGTACCTCTAGACTGAATTTCAACTTGACCTGAAGAAACATTAGAAATGCAAGATATACACTGTTTGGAATTCTTTTGAACGCATTTCTTTTGAAACAAGCCCTTTCCTGTGCTTTACCTATTCGTACAAGAGCAGTCCAAGGAGCACAGTTCAAATTTCCATTTGGAATCCCCTCATAACAGACATTGGTCATGAGCTTTATTATTTCCAATAAAACTTTTAACTTCTGACTTTTGGGTCACAACTTCATTCTCCACCTTCGTGAAGCTGTAAGCTCAGTTCATACAGAATTTACTGTTTGAGCTCTACTCCCCCCACCCCACCCACACCTTGTGCTCCTTTTTATCCAGTATTTTGAAGAATGCCTTGTATTCCCAGGCAAAGACTAGGGTCCTTTAAAAGCATGCAGCTGGTAACTGGTGCAACAGATTCCACACTGAGAGGCTGATGCTTTCCACTTCTCTACAGCCTGACCTGGCTCCAGGTAAGAAGAAAAAGGTTTGGGGTTTGAAGACCTCTCCTTTTTTCTTTCAGTATGAAGACTGAACCCAAGACAAACAAGGATCTCAGTCCCACTTCCTTCTCTATCTAAGCTCTCGTCCATTGGTCCCAGCTTTGCCGAGAGTCCTGGCCAGACCTGCAAGCTAGCTCTGCCTCCAATCCCTGAGTGTGAGGAGGGGAGGGTTGCCAAATTTCCAGCCATTGCCCGCTCCACACCTTGGCAACATTGGTACAAGTAATTGCTTGTCAATGGTTGGTTAGGAGGCAGAATTGATGGCCACAATAACCAGAACCTCTGAGGGCACTGTGTGGCTCTATGTTTGCCGGGCAGCCTTGGTGGCTGGAGAGACAGGGCAGAAAAACTTCCTGAGAGTAGGGGAAAATAGGTCAGCGAAGGAAAAGGAGCTGGGGTTCACAGACATTTTCAGATGGAAGGTAGAAGGCTAAAGTCAGGGACTCCAGCCAGGTTCACAAGTTTAGAGTCTCAGGCTGGCTGGAAGGAACTATGCAGAGTCACAGAGGATGGTCTGGGGGATAGACTAAAGAAAAAAAGAAGAGATGGGGAAAAAAGTGAAAGAAATGGAAGCTGAAGGAGATCTCCCAGCAAGGCTGAGTCTATGGCTTCATATCTCTCCTTATAAAACACAAGTGAGATCAGGGAGAAGTCAATACTTTTTATGTATAAACTGGATCAGGGAAAGAAACACAGAAAATGGGGTGGGGCAGAAAGTAGGTAAAGGAAGAAAAGCTCTTTGGACTTCAAGGGCCCAGCTCGGGATGAGGAAGGGACCTAGGAGCTTGCTTTCTCATGTCGTTGGAAGTCTGATCACAGGCACCCTCTTAACCACACCTAACCCTGTTTAGTCTCATGTTGAAGAGGAAAAAGAGGGACAGATGGATGGACACCAGCAGGAGTGAGAGGGACCACACATAAGCCCAGCCTAGAACCAGTCTTTGGCTGTGCCAGGAGCCTCTGCCCACTGTATCCCGTTTCAGAGCTCCTAGGTCTGACAGGTCAAGTGTAAGATCAGGGGCACTAAAGAAGACCCCCATCTGTTACGGTTTGGATCTAGATGTCTCCCGAAAGCTTCATGTGCTCAAAGGGGGGTGGGAGTGGGAATTGGCTGGACCATGGT